TCTATCTATCTATCTATCTATCTATCTATCTATCTATCTATCTATCTATCTATCTATCTATCTATCTATCTGTCTGTCTATCTATCTGTCTGTCTATCTGTCTGTCTGTCTATCTGTCTGTCTGTCTATCTGTCTGTCTATCTGTCTGTCTGTCTATCTGTCTGTCTGGTTAGGGTTTTTGCATGGAGATTAACAATACAGAGCCCCCTGCTGTTTAAATGTCAGTGGTGTCAAGTAGGTCATGGTTATGTTGCACTGTAGCTCCAGTGGCCAGCTACTGACCTGATAATGAAAAGACCGCAATTATAATAAAATAAATAATTTGCAATAAATTGCTTTAACAATCTGAAGAAAAAACAACAACAGGGTGTTTTGTTAATATACTATCTGCTTTCCTCACGTTGAATTGATGTGGATGTTGTTATCACCTCTGATTATCACCTCTTATCTATGTTGGCACTGGGTCCAGTTGCCATATGTCTTTAGCTGGCCTATGAGTAACCCCACAGCTTCACTGGTTTATCATCACCTCTTCTGAGTAGAAGTCACGTCAATGCAGTTTCCCGGTTATCTCTTCACTGCCACATGACAGAATTTTGTCACAAAACCAGACCACCTACAGTTTTCCCATTTCTCCAGCATTCAAACTGCCAAACCACTGATGTGGTTTTAAACTCATTCTGTCCTCTTTACATTTGAGCAATCAGAGGAGATGAATGTCTAGGATAATGGCCAAAATGATCTTATTTTTAGAGTTCTTTGCGCTTTATTCTACTGAGATCTTATATGCAAAATGAGTTCAAAGTACTGAACATGCAGAGCTTAAAGACTTTTTGTGTGGATACATGTCTCTAGGTTGGCAGCTATCTCTTTCAGTGTCCCATCCCTTTGCAAAAGAGCATACTCGAAGATATTTTTATCTTCTGAGGTACATTTACTTCCTTCCTTCCTTTCTTTTAGAATGTGCTTTTATGTGATCAAAGACACAGAACGATGCGTAAAAGCATGACATAACCGCTAACCGGACTGTATGCATGTGGACTGGACTGGAAAATGAGAAAAGAAGTTATAAGTCTGGTTTAAATTTACCAGAGTAATTCTCTCTAGTTGGGTTTGCCAAGCCACAGCGTCATGGTTCTCTACATTTTTTATTAAATGTCTAACATTAACCTCAACTGTTTTGAAAGGATCAAGAGAGACCTTGGGGATAAATAATCAACATGATGCAAGGGTCTGCTGAATCTAAAAACAATCATTATCTCTAAACAGCCATGATAACAGGCTGTTAAGACAGCACGGCGAATGCAACTCTATTAGCAAGCTGTGCAGACCAAACAGATTTACACCAAATGCTGATAATGAAGGAGCTTTATTTTTTACTGAAAGGAATAATGAAAAAAAATAAAATAATGAAAATGAAAAATGTTTCTTTGTCATTTACAGAGAAATTCAACATGAATCCCATGAAGAAACAACAATAAGAAGAAAGCAAAATCCATGGCATGAATAGCATGGAAAAAGAGATGATAAAAATATATATATATTTAAATATTATATTGAAAAACTACAGAAAATGAAACAAATCTACCAACATTTCCACACACTCAAAAAAAGGTATCAATATGTACAGTGCCTTTAGGGACAAAGATGTACCTTTTGAGAAGGTTTTCTTATAAGTGTAGCAAGAAAAATGTTTGTTTTCTTTTTTTTATATAGTACTGTGAGTACTTATCTAACATTTCTGATTATATGGACTCTTAAGGTTTGATGTTAGCTGTTTGACATGCACTTGATGTTGCAGACTGAAGCTTTGGACTCTGTTATGTTTATGCATTCATTGGTTCTGGGAAAGATGCCTGTGGCCCCATACTGTGAATGTTTACTGTCAGTATCAGCATATTTCACTGGTCACATCAAAACTCATCTAAAGAGTGAGGTGCTCATCAATGGTTTAGCCTAGGGCGCCCTCTAGTGGTCTATCAAGACAGCATAAGCAAGAAAGAGACGATGCTTTGGCTTTTTTTTCACCCAATCTGTTTTTATTGAAGGACTGCTGTTTTGTGGCTAACGCTGATGGAGTGCACCTGAAGTGTAAGTAAAATGACATCGATCTCTCTTCCCTTGGTAGCCTTAAAAGCCTTGTAAAATGAAATGGGAATGCATCATGCCCTCTCAAGTCCTCAGTGTTTGTTTGTCCCATGCAGTGAAAATAACTTGAAATGACTCATATTAAGAGAAAATGACTCACATCTTGGACGAATATATTTGTTGTTTAGCAAAATACGTTGGTTAATTCAGTCTAAAACATTGTTTATCAATTGCTTAAAAGCCTTGTAAAATGAAATGGGAATGCATCATGCCCTCTCAAGTCCTCAGTGTTTGTTTGTCCCATGCAGTGAAAATAACTTGAAATGACTCATATTAAGAGAAAATGACTCACTCAAAGAAGAAAATAACTACACATCTTGGACGAATATATTTGTTGTTTAGCAAAATACGTTGGTTAATTCAGTCTAAAACATTTTGTTTATCAATTTTGTTATTGTTAGTCACTCAAAGAAGAAAATAACTACACATCTTGGACGAATATATTTGTTGTTTAGCAAAATACGTTGGTTAATTCAGTCTAAAACATTGTTTATCAATTGTGTTATTGTTAGCTAAAACTATTAAAAACAAATAGTTAATTAATATTTGAAGCTAAAATAAAATATAAATATTAGTGAAAAACGTAAAAATGTGAAATGTTGCTTTGAACACTAACTGAAGCTGAAATACTAAAATGACTAAAAGTGAACCTAAAATAAATAAAGCTTATTTAATAAAAATATTATTATTAATATTATTAATATATAAAGCTAAATAAAAATATTAAACACTAATAAAAATGACAAAAGCACAACACAATTATTAAAAATGTAAGCTAAAATTGAAATGAAAACAAAAAAACAAAAGCTAATTCAAAATATTATGCATTAATACTATAGTATCTGTGTTATACTAAAATAACGGTTGTTTACAGGTTCAAAGCAATTGACAACAGTGTATTTTAATATCACTGAGATACGTTTATAGCTTTTATGAATAGTATGAATTACTTTTATTTTCAAAAGTTTTTCTGTGTAATTTTTATGCAGTTTTTAATATGTCTGTGTAGCTTTTATTGTTATTATTATTATTATTATTATTTCAGTTTTAGTTATTTTAGTACATCAAGTTAA